GGGGGGGGGGGGGGGAGTTCTGGTCAGCCTGTTTCAATATTTCCATTATCAGACATCTTCTATGTTGAGGTCAACATGTTAACATATATTATAGCATGTAATGTTAACACAACAGAGTGAAATAATATAAGTTATAATAAAATGTAAGGTGTAAAAAACTGGTGTTTTTATTATAAATCAATGTGAGGGAGGCCATCGTATTCTTTTAAAGGGAAAGCGGTTAAAACTGTGTATTTCTATCAAGTTTGGCGTGTCACTTAATATTGTTTTCAATAAAGAAAAAAGGAAAAAAAATTACAAAACAATTACGCAAATAAAAGAAGGAAAATAATATTATTTTTGTATTCTTCTTTTGTGGGCAGAAACAAATAAGTTAAAGAAAGTAAAGATCAGATCATATAAGATATACTATATTAAGTAAATATGACTAAATATGAAGTATATCTAATCTAATCTTTTGTTTACAATTTATTTTTAAATAAATGACTTATTTTCTCAAAAACAATAGTCTATATGAATATGTTACTTTTGGAGATACACTATTTCGAGATATCCAGAACTTGTAGTACCCTATATTGCCTTCAGATAAACTTTGGACTAATTTTGGAAATAAAAACGAGCATGGAAAATGATTATATAATGGTCCGAAAAGAAGGGGAGTTTATAAACATCTTATTTCTTGTGAAGTAGCACATTGATTCAAGACTTAGCCTTATGGTTAGATTATTGACAATGTCTTTTCAGACCCCTTTAAGGGGTCTCTAGTAACCCTGATGCATCATGATCTGTGGTTTCCCCCTGTGGCCCCCACCTCTTGAACCTGTAGCGGGCCTGCTGCCGGAGCCCCTCCTCGATGCTGGAGCTCAGCGCCTCCTTGTTGTGAAGCCGGTTGAGGCGCTCTAGGACGCTCCGCTGGTGGGCCTCATACTCGTCCTGGCTCGGGTAGATCTTGGAGATCAGAGCGTCGAAGTTTGAGTCCCGGCGCAGCGAGCGTCTGGAGACCAGCTTCTGCCTGCAGGTGGGACACTCTTTGTTTCCGGGGGGAGGTGTGATGTTACTCTGAGCTCATGTCTGCTTCAGGCTAAAGTAGGTGGATAGAAAAGGCTCACCCTGCTCTCAGCGCGGTGACAATGGAGTCGGACAAGAAGCGGTGCAGACACTCTTTGGCCGTCATGGTGTTCTTCAGCATATCCAGACAGATGGGACACCTGATGTCTCTGTGCAGGGAGCGAGGAGACACCGTCACCTCCGTCCCATCCATGATTGCCTCCTGAACACACACACAAACACACACATGTTTATCACACGTTATATTATGTTTTTATGCAAGTCGTGTTAAAAAAGGATCCTGAAATGGAAATATAACTTGGCCAATAATTCTACTTCTCAAAACTAATGAATTAAAGTGCATTAATATCTCAACGGTGCTATAGTAACACCATGTTGGCATTATTACTATATTATACGGTACATTTCCAGCAAATAATCATATTTATCTGGGGATAAAGGAAGTATTTCTAATAATGACACCTACTGTAGGCCTACACTAGCCAACAAACAAGCATATGACGTAATATAGTATCAAATAATTACCCAAAAAATAATGGACGTTTCGAACTCATCAATATGCCGATATATTGGAAAAAAGGGATTTTTTTTTATTCTGCTCCCTCGTTAAGAGGAGAGCTACTTAAAAAAAATAAAACAAGTCGTGAGCTACTTTTACTCATCCTTTTTTAGTTTCTTGCAGTGTATATATTTAGCACATTTTAACATTATTATACGCTTACCTTTAACCTTTGTGTGCTGTTTGGGTCTGTGGGACCCGTTTTCAGTGTTTACTAAAAGAAAATGTATTCAATTAAATTATTTTTAACCTGCTTTATTTGGGGGTGGACCTCACATCTTGTTAAAAGCATCAATCTGGTGCACTTTGAGCACAACATGTATTTCTGGATACAGTTCTCAACACTCAGATGAAAGGGAGCTGTATACTTTTCAATAATCCAAACATCTTTAGAATATGATCACAACCAATAACAAACCACTTCATAAACTCCTTATGAATTGGTGAGGTGCCGCTCCACATTGCTTTTCATCCCGACTGCAACGCTGTGTGTGTGTGTGTGTGTGTGTGTGTGTGTGTGTGTGTGTGTGTGTGTGTGTGTGTGAGAGACATTTCCATATGTCTGTAAATTATTTTGGTTTCAGTTGTGTGTGAGCAGGCTCGGATTGGCCATCTCTTGGACACCCCGGAAGTTGCCAAACGCGGGGGAAGGGTCACGCGTCCCCCAATAAAGCGAAACGGGAGGAAAAGAAAACGACCCCAAAAGTAAACGGCAATATACTACCCCCTTGGGTGGCCTCCGGATTAAAAAAAAAAAGTAATATGCCAATTTAATTTAAAAATCTCTGATACCTACCGCCCTCTAATTACATTAATTTCCCCTAGATGGGTTTTTGGGTTAAATGGTAACCACCTTTGGAATGTTCACCTCCGTACCATTTGGTTTCGTAACGCAATCAACCGGGCGGAAAAGGTTTCGGGTCAAAAGACCAACCCCACCCTGGGGTAAGCTCCACCCCGTTCCGGTTTGTAAAGACACGGAGGTTTGGGGAGTGGGGGGGGGTGGTCATTTTTGACCCCGAAACCTCCGCGCCCCCCCGGTGATAAACAAACGGGGCGCCCCAATTTTAATTCAACCCGGGTTTTCACGTTAGGTCCCTCCAATGACACCCGAATGCTCTCCGTCTCCGAGCCCAGGGACGGCAGTGAAGAGTAGCCGAATGGACATGAACATCGCCTCCGACTAAAAACTGAAATTTTTCGCCTAACCACCTTAGTATGTATTTAGTGTGAATGTAGTTATCTAGTCACCCTCTTGTAAAATAATAAAATGATAAATCCAAAAGAAATCAACAAAAAGGCAATTTACTCAACTTCATACTGTCCACTCCGATGACGGAGGGGACGGATGGGACTGACGTGCAGCGACGGTTCTCCGTATGGTGCACCTATCTGACGTTCGACCCTTTGACCCGACGTTTCAAAACAAGTAGGTAAAGCCTACATAAGTGAGAAGTTTTTCGTTCCACACACACACACACACACACACACACACACACAACACACACAACACACACAATCTGGTTTACCCAGGTAAACCCATACCCGTGTAAGGTGTATGGGTCCTTCTCCTGTTTTCACCTTTTTCTTTTTAGAGGTTGCTCCGCAAAACCCGTCGTATCGGTCCAGAAAGGACACAATCTCAAACATGACACCCTGAGACGTCTGGCAAATGTACCCGTATTGTGTGTTCCCTTCCCCATTATTTGACCTTTTCGTACCTGTAACGCCTGGAAAATTTTTTAACAAACCTGGAGACCGGCCTGTAGCTTGGACCCAGGAGCGCCCGCCATCACCTGACAATTGTCGGCCTCGGAGCGTTGCCGCCAACAAAACACCGCCACCTACTTCATGGCGCGTCGCCGCGACACTTTCCAGGTGCCTCGGGTCGCTTCCGTCCGTCGGGTGTTGCCGTCGCGTTTGGCCATTTTCAGGGCTTCAGAGGGGCTACCGGTTAGCTTCCGGAGCGAGTGTGTGTGACTTTGGTTTTATT